GGAGCGGGCGGCGCGCGGCAAGCACGCGGCGCGCCAGCGGGCCTTCGTGCGCGCGCTGCTCGCCCTCAGCGGCGCTTTCTACGCGCTCGCCTTCATCGCCTTCTACTTCCTCAGCCTGGCCTGACAAGGACAATGTGCCATATTTTATGTTTTAGCGATATTTAATAAATACTCTAGCGCTTTGAGCAACTACAACACTAATTTATATTTTTGCTATAAAGGCGTTGTCCATATATCGTTGTGATTGAGAGTTATAATTATTATATTTTTTTATATGATTTTAGGTTAGAAACGGGAAGATTATTATTGTTACTGAGATAAAAATGTTTATTTTGAGCCAATTTATTGTACTAGTAAATGAAACTATTCTGTTATAAGTTTAAAAATTGTTTACAACTTGTAGTAACCTGTGTTGCATTAGTAAAGACTAGCGCACTAGTTGCTAGGTAAACATTCGTGTTGTCTCGTTAAAAGGAGCCTTAAATTATAGACGTAATATTTGGGAATTCATGTATTAAATGTTCTCTTTATGATTTATTTTAGTAAAAGTTCATAAATACATTAATATCACAACGGTAATTGATCCTTCGAGTCGGATGTTAAAAAGTTAAATTAAAAATAAAATAGATATTATTTTAAATGTTTTATAACCTGTACGTTATTTAATGTTTTTATGTATAAATGATTCCTGTAAACCGCATAGTTTGAGTGTGGTAAATGGAATTTAATTACGTTGATCAAACTGAACTATTAACTTCGATATCTAGTACAATGCAATAATCAAAACAGGGGACAAAAAATAGGTTTAATTTTTATACAAATATAATGTGGATACAAAAAATATTTATTATTTAAGAATTATTTATGTAGTGTTCGTAGAAAATGTAGATTTAGGATGTTTAATGTTTTACCTATTGTTGTGGATTTGTTAATTTTAATATACAATTTAAATTATTTTGGTTTGTATTTAACCTCCAAATATCCCTTTTCCTTATCTGTAGTACACATATTATTGGGACATTTTTACAACAGCAGAGTTATGCCGAGTAAAATAAACTAGCCTAGCAAAGGAAAATTACGAATACGTCTCGATCCACTAACATTTGTCGTGGAAATTTACTCTACAGCTTCTGAATTAAAAGCAACTGTAACTTATCAATATTTTTTGCTTATCAAAACTACAAAATTAAACAGTAGTTTACAAACTGTTTAAATAATGAGATCGAGTGATATTTTATAACAAAATATTTACATTTAACTATCTGCGTATCTTACAGATGTTACATAATAAGTTAACATAAAATTATTTTTAACAAATCAGTATCGTTCATAAGAAGTTCACGAGTATTCAATACAGACTCTAAGCAAGTGGAATCTTTATTTTCTGACCTGTTCAGTACTAACACTCAGTCTTTCACAACCCAAGGAAGTATACAAAAAGTGACATAAAAATGAATGTAGCTGTAACTGGTGCGGCCGGGTACATAGGACACCTGTTAGCAGATGCTCTGTTGGCGAGCGACTCGCCTCTCAAGGTGGAAAGTCTCCTGCTGGTGGATACTATCGAACCGCGGCCTCGTAACGACCCTCGCGTACGCAGCCTGGCTTTGGACCTGACAGCACCCGGGGCAGCTGACCAGATAGTAACATCCGATCGCCAGATTTTATTCCACCTTGCAGCAGTCGTCAGTGGACATGCTGAAGCCGACTTTGATTTGGGTCTGGCCGTCAATTTTGATGTCACCCGAGCTTTACTTGAAGCAGCTAGAAAACGCGCCAAAAATATGCGATTTGTATTCGTGAGCACGGTAGGTGTTTTCGGCGGTGACCTTCCGCCTGTCGTCTTAGACTACACTGCTGTTACCCCACAGACTTCATACGGGGTAGGGAAAGCGATGAGTGAGTTGCTGGTGAATGAATACGCACGCCGAGGGTTCGTCGATGGGCTCGCTGTGCGGCTGCCGACAGTATCGGTTCGTGGTGGCGTTGCTAACCGCGCAGTCACGTCCTTTGCCAGTGGAATAGTTCGTGAGCCCATACGAGGCGAGTGTGCGGTGTGTCCGGTGGAGGAAGCTCAGCGCTTGTGGCTTTGTAGCCCTAAAGTTGTTGTGAAAAACATACTACATGCGGGAACATTGTCGGGCGCGCAGCTGGACCCATGGCGGGTTATCAATTTGCCCGGCTTGACCGCCACCGTAGGAGAGATGGTGCGTGCGCTACGTGAGGTGGCCGGCGAGGAAGTCGCCTCTCGCGTGCAGTTCGTTAAGGACGAGATGATCGCACGTATGGTGGCCAGTTTTCCGCCTGAATTTGATACGACTCGTGCGAATCGGCTCGGCTTCATCGCGGATAATAATTTTGCTGATGTCATTCGCATATTCATCGAGGAAGAAGCCAAAAAGAAGTGATAAATACGTAGTACATTCCAATTTAGTAAGCAAACATTGAACATGTTAAAAAAATACATATTTACGTAATTAAAAAAATTACGATTTGTCAATTTTTATTCAATTTAATAAATGGACTAGTTATAAAAACTAACTTATATTTTTAGGCTGTTCTAGTGATATAAAAATAAAAAGAAACATAGTAAAAAAAATATAATTATGCTATATTGATTGTTGATTGTACATGTTATACTTAAGTAATCTTTTAAAAATTAAATAGTTGCTGTTCAATTGCTTTTTCTGAATCCCAAGCCTCAGCGGAATCAGGATCGTGTTTCAACCGTTTAGATAACTTTGGTGAAGTATCATCATTATTAGAATGTTTGCGTTTTCTTTTTTTACGAACAGGCTCTGGTTCCGGTTCCGGTTTCATTTCGTGTTCTGATTCATTGGTCTCTTTTTTATGCTTCTTCTTTTTCTTTTTTCTCTTTTCATTATCTTCCGGTATTAATTCAGTTTCTAAACCGTTGAGTCGGTCTGATATGTGTTTTGGTATCTTTATTGCACTCTTATAATGAACACCGAACAGAGGATGACGTGACTTTGTTTCAGGAAGAGGTATGAAATTACTTTGATTATTTACAGAATTCTCTTCCATGTAATGAGGCTTTGGGATTCTTTTAGAAAACTGTATCATACCAGAAATTGGTACATTTTTTATAACCGGTTTATTCTGATCTATCGTCAAGATAGCAACTTGAGGAGTATAGTTTTCGATATAACCAACATATGTTTGATTGTTTGCTTTAAGTTTACATTTAGTGTCTAAGACAAAACTTGTGTCTTTTAAACTATTGATGTCAACTTCGCTGGGACATTTCAACACCCACACCTCATCTTCTTCTGTAATAACAGCTCCACTATTGTGATTTACTTTGATTTGATTTAGATGAGCATTTTTTTTCAAATATTTCCTTAGTGCTGCTGAATGTTTTGAACCTTTTACTTCTATTTCGTCATTACTGAAATCGAGAGTGTCGTTTTCGAATTTTATTCTGTCAGTGATTTTTCTCAAAGGTTTTGAAGGGGTGATGCTACCATTAGCACTAATAATTTCATCAGTAACGGCAACATTATCAAATAAACTATTTTGTTTCTTTTTTATTTTACTTTTATCTCGAATTTCTTCTGTGTGACTTGTATTATCTAGTTGTCTGGAGATATTTTGTTTTGTATCATTATAAGCACCTTCACATTCATCCATACTTTCATCGGTTCTTTCTTTTTGTAATTTATTCTCTATGTTACTTTGTGATTCATGAACGTTTGCTATTCTTTCCTCTACTATAGTTTCTTCTGCATTAAACTTTTCTTCTATTATTGTATCCTCAATATTGTCTTTTTCTTTTTTCTTTTTAGATTTCTTTTTCTTTTTAACCCTTTCATTGTCTTCTGGTTCTTCTTTGAAATTAGAATATTCATTTTGTTGGCTTAGTTCTAAATGTATATCAGCATTTTCTGAATGTGAATTATCTATCTCTTGTGATTGAGATTCACTGAAGCTGGAATATTCCGCATTTTCAGAGTTTGTTCTATGTTTCTTCTTCTTTTTCGGCTTCGGTGGTTTCATGTCTATGGACATTTGCTCCTCTTTAACTTTCAAATTTAAGAATTCTTCATCCTTCAGAAAACTATCAGAAATCGATGTTTTTGATTTTTTCTTTTTAGGTTTAATATCTAAATCACTTTCTGGTTCCGTTTTTATTTGTTTTGTTTTTATTTCCTCCACAATACTGCTTTCTAACTCACTATGCTTTCGTTTTTTTGATTTCTTCTTTTCATTATTGCCCTCTTTGGAATTTTCTTGACTGTGGTTGAATAGTTGCTTTTGAAGTTTTTGTTTATAACTATATCCTGATTCCGAATCGCCATCATCACCGTTTTCTTTCATAATTCTGAAAGAGTAACTATGTATTACAAAAGTATCAATTTAACTGCATATGACAATACCTTATGTAATAATTTCGCATTACTAAAATAACGGTTAATTTAAAAAAATAAATTGATTAATGTGTTATATTAATAACCAACAAAAATAGTAATCGCATTACTGCTCAAAATAAAGGTAACTTACGTCGAGTCTTCAGAAGTGTCCGTCCAAGCAAAGTCGTCAGAGGATTCCATTAAATTTTTAAGCAATTAAGTTTTTGTACACATACCATTGAATTTTAAGTTATAATATTAAAGTTGAAATTTATAACCTAACACATACAACCTTCAATTTTTCAATGCATGTGACATGTGTTGTATTGTGTTATGACAGTTGACACTGACTTATGTCAAATGTTGAGTTTATTCCGTTTCTTCAATTTTCTTCACAATTAAATTCTAGTTCTTTTATTCCTTAACAGTATGATTAGGAGTACCCGTTGCTTATTTATTAGCATTACTTGCGCAATTTGTAAATAACTGTGCATTGATTGTAATTTAAGTTGCCCTAAAAAAATATTTTTAGACATTTAAAAAATAGTTTCATAATTTTGAACGCATTATTAGTAGTTGACATATTGTTCGTTTGACAGATCTTATGTCTTTCTTGTGAATATTGTAGTCCAACATGGTGAGTTTTATGTCCATTTTGTGAAATATCCAGTTAAATCCGAAGAAGTGTCTATAAAAATTAATTTCCTTTCATGTGAAATAGTTCTCGGTTAAATTTGGAACATATAGGATACTATATTTTCAGTGGTCTATGTGAAAGTTGTACGTAGTTTGAAAATAAACCGAAGTTGTTTAAAGTTGTTATAGTCCTATCTATTACAGATTTAAACACCTAAGCCATGGTTAATATTAAATCAATTACAAGTTAACATATCCTACAGTTCGATAAGCATCTAAAAAGTTTTTTAAGGTTTTTTGTTTTTTTAGTCAAAACATACTATCAATAAATTTTTGTTATTGTGTTCAGGCTCGTGGTCCGAAGAAGCACTTAAAGCGTCTTAACGCGCCTAAAGCATGGATGTTGGACAAATTGGGTGGCGTGTACGCGCCTCGACCATCCACTGGTCCCCACAAGCTACGTGAATGTTTGCCGCTGGTGATCTTCCTGCGCAACAGGCTGAAGTACGCCCTCACCGGTAATGAGGTGCTCAAGATCGTTAAACAGCGCTTGATCAAAGTTGACGGCAAAGTACGAACAGACCCTACTTATCCTGCTGGATTCATGGGTAAGCATAGATAAGTTTATGCATCTCTAAAGTCATTTGCATTTGTAAAAATAACACGGAAGATAGCACTATAAATTTAAAGTTTGCAAGTTCTTGATAATAATAACTTTGAAAATAAATTAAAAACCTAATCGTATTCATAATTATGTCACTCTAAAGATTCTATGCATTTAAAAGAAAATTAATTATATTTGTATAATTTCAGATGTTGTATCCATTGAGAAGACCAATGAATTGTTCAGGCTAATCTATGATGTTAAGGGCCGTTTCACAATTCACCGTATTACCCCAGAAGAAGCTAAGGTATGTTGGAAGGAGTATTAAATCATTTTAACAAAAGTATCATAAATGATTAACATAGTTGAAAAATGTAACTGCAACTTGATGTCATTCTCCAAATGTTTGCTAAATTAATGCAACTTAAACAAGGAATAGTAAATATGTAGGTTTAATTATCTGCTAACTACTGTATGACATTGCAAAGTGACAGTTGTCTATAGGCATATTTACAGATGCACAGATAACAGATATATTCTATGTATCCTCATCTAAATCCACCTCTTGCTATTCCTTCTAGAAAAGTGTAGGAAGCGGCGGAAAATATAAAAATGAGGAATTCGTTTCACTCACTGCCTGTCTTCTATGTTTTTGTGGTATTGCACAAGTTCAGCTGTCCATTTTTATTACTAAAGAAGTTATTTCTGGGCTCTCCCACTGTTGTTTAAATGTAACCTAAATGTTTACGGAAAAGATGGTTGCTGTAACTCTACTCTCTGTTGGTGTCTTCCAATATGTTATTTGTTTGTTGCAGTACAAGCTGTGCAAAGTGCGTGCCGTGGGCACTGGCCCCAAGAGCGTGCCATACCTGGTGACGCACGACGGACGCACTGTGCGCTACCCAGACCCCCTCATCAAGGTCAATGACTCCATCCAGCTGGATATCGCCACCTCCAAGATTATGGACTTCATCAAGTTTGAGTCTGGTGAGTTATGGATTATGATTTAAGTTCTCTTTGCTATAGTTTGGTTCTGAATTACTTTGCCAAGTTTTAAATTAGGGTTCTTTGTTATGAATACTTTCATTGTACAGTTTTGTCAAGGAAATAATGCAGAAAAAACATGTTTATGAATATTGTCTGAAGTTAAGAATAATAAAGATATTTTTTTTCATTAGGCAACCTGTGTATGATCACCGGAGGTAGGAACTTGGGGCGAGTGGGCACGATCGTGTCCCGCGAGAGACATCCAGGTTCCTTCGACATTGTCCACATCCGGGATTCCACTGGACACACATTTGCCACTAGGTAATCTATTGTTATATTTTATATGACTTTTATACTTGGTTTTATACCTGGTTCTAATGTGTAGAGATTTTCTCGTATTGTGGTATCTAAATTTATACAATTGTAAGCCAATTTTGACGAGGTTATATTAAATTGGCCCTAAAACATTGAAAATGTAAAAAATGTTGAAAAACGAATTCAATTTAACTTAACTCACTCGCCGTAATTTCTTAAATTTCTTTCGATGTTTTCGAGTATGTACTAAAATAAAATAAAAAGAAATGGTTATGGTCTAAATTAAAATGTTTGAAATCCTTGTTTTGAAACACAGCCAATAGATGGCGTTATTTCATGTACTATCGCCTCGGTCGGTCCCATTTTTTTTGTTTCTTAACCTTTTAGTAATTATGATCAATTGTGTGTGTGTGCAGGATGAACAACGTGTTCATAATCGGCAAGGGCACGAAGGCGTACATCTCGCTGCCGCGCGGCAAGGGCGTGCGGCTCACCATCGCGGAGGAGCGCGACAAGCGCATCGCCGCCAAGGTCGCCGCGCAGTGAACTGCACATTAAAATATAAGACTATAACAACTCTTTTATTATTAACCCTTTTTACCATCTTTTTAATATAATGCCATGTAGGGCATGTAAGAGTGTCGGTGGCTAAGTGGTTTAAGCACTTAACTTGTAATCTACAAGTCTTGGGTTCGAATCCCGCCATGTACCAATGTGATTTTCGATTTTTCGAATTTTCATATATACACAATTTACCCGACGTTCTTACGGTGAAGGAAAACATCGTGATGCAACCTGCACATATCGGCGGAGAAATTCAAATATATGTGTGTAGTTAACCAACCCGCAGTGCAGCGTAGTTGACTATGGCCTAGTCACCCCTTATTAGGGTAGGCTCCGAGCCCCTCGGTGGGGACGTATAGTGAGCTGACGATGTAAGGCAAATGAGTACTTTTGATTGCTGAACAAGAAAATGATTGCTTTTATTAAGTAGTGGTCCCACCAGTTGAGATTTGCAAAAGTTTCTAATAGAAACAGTTAGGCTAGTTAATAAAAGTTGTGGCACATAATTCGTTGCAATCTGCATTGCTGCCCATATTGAATCTAGGAAAATGCAAGGTAAAAATTAACTACTTGACATGTTGATACATATTGAAATCGAAAGGAACTAAAAAAGAATAGGTATGAAGAAAACACGATTTAAACAATATAAGGCTATTTATTTACACAACAACTAAGTTTTTTAACTAGTATTTTGGACCGTAGTGTAGCACTGATAAAACATCGTATTTGTCCTTCAAAAACGAATTTAAATACAAATTAGGTACCTCTAAAAACATCTATAATCTAATTTTTATCTACACTACACTAAATAATTCTTCATCGCTATTATAACTAATTCAGTACGAACTTCTCTTGAACCTGATCATTTGTACTCCATCTCAATTACAAGACAAAAATTGCATCAATCTTGAATCAAGACGAATGACCAGGTTAGGCTGTGCTCGTGTGAGGTGAATGTGAGTGCCTCGCCCGCATGTGTCGCTCCAAATCTCTGCGGCGGGCGAGGGGCTTGCCGCAGCGCGGGCACGCGTGCGGGGCGGAATCCTCAGACGCGTGCGGAGCCCGGGCCGCGTGTAGGCGAACGTGCTTGTTGAGATTAGATGGGTCACCGAAGGCACGCAAGCAATGTCGGCAGCGGAGCGGTTTATAGCCCGTGTGAGTTCGGATGTGTATTTTGAGGCCGTATTTACGTGAGTAGAGTTTGCCGCAGTAGAGGCAAGTGTGACCGCCCCGCGACTTGCCCCACGCGGCTGCTAGGGCCTCCACGGCTGCGCTCGCCGCATCGTCTGCTGGTAGGGGTAAAAGCGGCCAGTGTGGTATAGGACTACCAGAATGTTGTATCGAAGAAATGTTATAAGGTCGGAAGGCAGAGCTTCGTTGGGATGTAGATTGTTCCAGACGTTCGAGGCAGGTCTGCCAGAATGCTGCCAGTGAGTAGTCCCCGCATTTTAAGAACAGGTGAACCTTCAACGGATTCGGCTGCTCAAACTCTACGCCGCAATCGTGGCAGACGTAATTTTTCTTGCCTGTAATATTGTAAGCAGTTATAGCGATATACACAATTTGTACTATGTGTTTTTACCAATGATTGTAAATTTAGTTTTTCATTAATGTTAAATATTTATGGTACTAATTATTAATTTCTTCAGACATAAATAAGTTACAACTGTAGAGACAGAAAAAAACAAGGTTTTTTAATCATAAACAGAAATTGAAATAAAAGAACAACAACTATAATTAAATTAAATTTACCTTGAATATTCTTCAATGATAAAAAGGGCATATCGAGTAGAGCGAGCGTTGCATCGTCAAACCATATCTGCAATTCTTGTAGGGGCGCGGCTTCCGCTTGTAGGCGCAGTCGGAGGCAGCTGGCATCCGTTACATCCAGTTGGGAGCCCAGTTGCTGTGGGAAAGAGGCCGAAGAGGCACAGAGGAGCAGCGTGGCCGCGGGAGAGGCTGGAGCTAGGCTCGCACACACTGCCGCGCCCGCGGGCCCTCCTCGCGCGCATAGGCGACCGTTCACGTCTAAATCCATGTACACCTGTGCAAGAAAAAAATATTTATTAAAAAAAAACAAGCTATATTGTAACAACAGCTATCGACTATATTACATCAGACTTAAAAACAATTGATATCCAAAAGTGTCCAGTCCCAAAAATGTTTAGGTATAGTTCAAGCTTCCTATCCATTTTTTTTATAATATAAGGTGGCAAACGAGTAAGCGGCCACCTGAATCCACCGAAATGGAAAGCTACCGCTGCCCATAGACATCCGCAATTGCAGATGCGTTGCCTACCCTTCATTGACGGAGGAGGAGACCCACATAAAGAGGACATTATCCCTTCCTATGCGTCTCCTCCACCATCAAGTCCACTTTTCCTTCCCATCCTCTCCTCTTAAGAAAAGGGTGGAAAGGGAAAGTGACTAAAATTAAGCCTCCGGCACCTTATTATCGGAAGGTTCCTAAATTGATAATGTTAAATAGAGAATTTATACATTTAATTTGCACTGATTACTGACTGAATAGAAACAGAATGGTAACTTACGTTGTGTGGTGTTAAGAGGGCATGTTGCAGCGCCGATCTCAGCTCCCTCGTCCCGAAGGCAGCAGAACACGCTCCGGACGACAGTCCTCGGCGAGCCAGCGTTCTCATGCTGATGGTCTACCACTGTCCGTATATTGAAGTAGACGAAATCGTAACCTTAACAATGTAACCTCTAAACTGCTGCACGAAAACCTCTTACGTAACGTTCTTTTTAATGAAATTTATATATTCCAGTAGCAAGTGCAGTGCTGCAGGTGGAATGCAAGTGGCGCGTGCGCCGCGTGCGTCTCGTATTTACGTCCCGGAGGGTGGCAACCCTCAGGGCGGCACTCCGCCCTCCGACCGCCCCCGACACTCCGACACATATTGTCTCCGACCCCGCAATCAAAATATCCGTGAAAAAAAATATATCGCCCTCTAATAACATCATCTATATTATTTATCCAAGTGTTAAAATCCTTCATTTATAAACCTATTAACATTTTGTACCGAATTTATTTAAGTACATCGGTGGGTTATAGTCTGGTTGTTTCAAATTTACGCGTAGACTTAGGTTTTAAATCTCAATTTTGAGCTTTTTTTCTTCAAACGGTTACTCTCACCTATATTTAAAAGACGATTGCTAAAACTTTCATAACAAGTGAAAACAAACGTTACTTTTAAATGTAAGATTAGGTTTCTAAAGTAAATAAAATGAACGAGTGTTTTTAAACATATTTATTAAACATTTGCAATTTACAGTAATTACTATAACAAAACAACTACCGCTATTAAAAGTATATACATGTGTAAAAAACAATCAACGATACGTAAAATTCAATTTCATGAAACCTTAATTATTTTTTATATAATTGAATTTTAAAAACCGTCCGCTAGATACTTTGACATTATTTAATTAACAATTTCTATCATCTTATTATTTATTTAAATGAATACTTCATTTAATTTAATTCCATAGACGTATTTTAATGTAATTTCTTAACCGACTCGAAGGACCAATAATTTTACATCCGAAAATTATACGTTTTATTCGGATAATTGTAAATTAATTTAGGTTTACTTGCATTTATTATGAATTACAATATTTCATTTATTAAAAACTGATTTATGCAACAATGACAAAATAACAATGTAAATTTTTAACAAAACTATTACAAAACTACTTAGATATTTACACATTACAATTTGATCATCTTATTACAATCGCTGAAACTTTTCTAAGCGTAGTTTGATACGCAAGCACGCTACCGTTACTCTTCCTCCATTCCTGTAAGCAAAAATAACCATAAAATAAAAGGTGCATGTTCCTCGCTAGGTTTTTATTTTAGAATTGTTATTCATACACCTAAATTGTAAAAATTATTAAGTAGACGTTGCCCTCGATTAAGTACGAGCACAATTAAAAATAAAATGAATTAGTAGCCAGTACCAACGTTATTCTTCAGACTTTGTTCTACATTTATACCAGAGCGACATTAAGTAAAACGCTTTGGACCTTCATAGTAACAAACATCCATTCATCTTTCGCATTTAAAAAAATAATCCAGACAAATATGACGCTGTACAGAGTGTCAGGTGTGATGTTGAGTTCAAGTGTCGCTTTGGTTTACACGACCATTGAGCGAGGATAACTGTCACATAAGCGCCGTGCCGCATCGCGCACATGTCGCGTAAAATCTATTACAAAAGATGGCGACGCGTTAAAAGTTTTTCAGGACAAGTATTGCGTAAAAGCTATTGTTGAAACTATCTCATTTTATGATGGGTAAATTAAATTAAACTAAGGGTAAATTTTTTGGTTTAACTTTTTTTAGTTTGGCTCATAAAATGAAGGAATATTATTTCATATTCGATTATGTACCTGTATCAAGCGTTCAACAACAAGGAAACTTACACTTACAGCTTTAATTCACTACAATTTATATATATTTTGAAGATAAACAGTTTAATTGTAGAGCAATATGGTGACCGTGTGCGTGTGTTTGTACAAGCGATGTAGAGATTTGGCGGCTGAATTAATCTGTTATTTGATAAAAAGCTGCAACATTGAGCCGGTGCACGGCGCGCCCTCTCGTGTTTTGATTTTGCATTATTTTAATTGTTTCCACCACGCCCTAAGCCGCGGCCTGCAGCAGTTGTGGTGGGCCGCTAGTAGCGGCCCGTTATATTAAATTTTAATAAGGTTTTATAAATAAATAGGTAAATGTAATATAAATTGAAATTAAAAAAAATCATACTTTTTAAATTTAATATAATTAAATGAATAAGGACTGGCCAGTAACTTCGCAGAGGTTTAAGGAAATTGGATATCGTAGATATGGCTCTTTGTAAAGTAAAATGGTATAATTTTTTTTTATAAAATATACTTTATGCAGATAACAAAACCGACTATGTGCCCCTATTAGGATAAAGAACAGGTCAGATTTGTCGCGTTGCTCATTTTAATTGAGTGATCAAAATTGTAACATTTAAGCTCTTTACATCATTACTGCATTGTTCAGAGGCGACGCGACTCCATGCAGCTGCACAAACACGCAATAAAACATACGATTGTGAACCATATCACGCTTCAACAAGGTTTATTTTCCAATGACGCAATAATCAATTCTTAAATCCCGGAACAGTCCAGTTCATGTAACAAAATGAATCGTTTCCGATCGTGTTAAGGTTGATTTTATAAAAACTGTTTGCAGAACTCTTAAAGTCCATTTAGATGTGCATTAGCGAATATAGAGGAGGATGGGGCAAATGCGACATGTGTAGTGTGTCGTGCCAGACCGCTCGCCTCACAAGTTTGTTTAACACTCAGACCCCACTGATAAAGTCCCCGTGACTTTTGCTAATTTCATTTACTGCTATCTCATGTCTGGCAAAACAATTGCAATTAGAATGCCGTTTGTTTCAAATAGATTGTGACTAATTATAACAATGGGCTGCATCTAGGAGACTAGTGATTGCATAAGTAGGTTAGTCCAAAGATCAAGGGTGGAGGTAGTAAGTAGTAGTCCAATTTTCTAATGAAAAACTGACAAATGGTTTTTGACTTATCAATGCGGGATTCCAGAAAATATTACTTGATTGTTATTATTAATTATGTGCATTTTTGTATTCATTTTATAATTCTCGACTCTTAGTTTAATTACATATCCTTTGATTAATATTCTAAAAGTGTCAAAGATAGTATATCAATAACTATTGTTCCTTAAAATCTGCCTACGGAGGGGATCGCAAATATAACATACAGGCTGTTGCCGCGACTTCGTCCGCATGAAATTAAAAAATAATAAATAGCCTATGCTACTCAACGATAACTTAACTTCTTTACGGTGAAAGAATTAATTGGCCCAGTAGTTTTGAGTTATGTCAATACATACAAAAATACAAATCTTTCCTCATAATTTAGTATAGATGAAAGTTTCGTTTCACTAACAGTAACAATTACCCGAGTCAAGTGTTCGGGGAGCGTGCAGTGACCACGTGCGCTTTATCTTAATTCCCATCTCATCAGATAGCCGTCGCCAAACCGACAGTAATAGAAACCCGACGGGAGATAGAGTGCCGTTTATTCATATTTGAATTAAATTAAACACAATTGCTAAACAAGTATATATATCCGTTTATATAATTCCAGGTGGTAAGGGGCATAAGAAATTTTTTTTATTTAATTATTTATTACTAGCTTTCGCCCGCGAGTCCGTTCGTGTAAAATTTTTAAAAAATGAAAGTGAATAGCCTATGTGTTCTTCTAGACTATCCTCTACATCCATACCAAATTTCATGGAAATTGGTTCAGCGGTTTAGGCTACAAACTAACAAACATCCATCCATCTGAACTTTCGCATTTTAATATTAGTATGAAGTATGATTATTATTATTTATTTAATTATTTTGTACAAAAATAACATTACATATATTTCAACTCAAGTAAGACCTTATTTTCTTTTTATAATTTTAAATCCTACGATTTAATTCAACACATAGGAAGCTTTTTCGACAAATGTTTCTTGTGTATGGATAAAAGTGAAACTAGTTTAATTCTCCTATACTAATATTATAAAGAGGAAAGATTTATTTTCTAGAATTTTTGTATGTATTAAAATGACTAAAAAACTACAGTGACGATTTTAAAAATTCTTTCACCAAACAAAAGCTACGTTATCAGTGAGCAACATAGGTCATATTTTGTAATTTTTTTAATTTCACGTGAACGAAGTCGCGAGCAACAGCTAGTTAGAAATAAACTTATACATGTAAGATAAAATTTTAGAAAAAAATAGCAAGATATACGAGTACTTAGTTAATCGGTAGGAGATTTTTTTTTACAAACATTTTTTTAATCTGCATTTTTAAATTGTATCAACAATAAGCGCACTCAACGCCCCGCATCAAATATAATGTAACAAAAATTTATTTTTAATAGTTATTATGCGTATTGTAGTTGACAAGTGGTTGGATTAGAGATGGCGTTAGTGTCGCGAGTCGCGAGAGATTAGCGCGCGTGCGCACGTGCGCCGCGACGCCGCTGTGACGTCACGCCGCGTTAGCTAATCGCCCGTGACCGCAGCACCGGCCGCAAAACGCGCCCTTTTTCTGTGCCTTGTCGCACAAATTGCAACCTTATTACATCTATTCTTCAATGCAGACTAGGCGAGACTTAGAAATAGAAAATGAACCTTATTGAAAGGTAACAAAGACAAAATTCGATTAAACGACACTTGTAGATCTAACCTTAAAATTATTTATGTGAACTAAACTTTATTACCTTGATATTAAGATCTAGTTTAAACATCGTAATCCTAACTTGAAAATGTATTAGAGGCCAAATTAGATTGATATTATGAAGCGGGCAATACGATATTATTGCAAGTATTGTAAGGTCCGCTTAGAGTTGAATAGTGGTCTAATGGGGATGGTATGGCGTGGCGAATGCGCACGTGCCGGCAGCCGGTGTGGCCTGCACCGCCTGCCACTGCAAGTGCGGCAAGATGGTGCCACGGGCTATACGACGTTAACGAAAACTGGGTAATTCAAGTCGTAACTCTGCAGTGTTGGCTCACCTTCTAGCATCATGCTGGGTGTGGAGGGTGGCGTGGGGGAGTCGGGCATGTACCGCGGCGTCGGCGCCTGCGCACGAGTCTCCACAACCTCGCGTACGATCTCTGTTGTTATAAACGATAAGATAAATTTCAACTACAAAATGGAAGTTTTCCTTAACTTCAAACTTACTGAAAGTTTTTTTTTTATATCATGGAATCTAAATACAACACAATGTAAGTGGCAACGTGTACCTGTGATGACATCGCGGCTTGTGATAATGGATTCAATCTCCAGCGACACTTCTTGTACCAGCCACGGCATTACCTCTTCGTTCACGCCTGCAAACAAATTCGCAGATAAAAAACAGAAGTAAGAGCAAGATACAAGACTTACTATGTTCAGGCATAGTCGTGTCGTGTCTACTCTAGTAGACTTAAGTAAAACGGCAAAAAGGAAGATAATTACCAGTCTGTATCCTCTCGATTAGATAACCATGGCAGCGCAGGCCGGCCAGCACGCTGGGCAGCAGCTCGGCCACGTAGCCCTGCACCAGAGCCGCCGCCGCAGCGCGCGCGCGCGCCTCGCCCGCCGCCGCCTGCGCCAGCCGCGCCTCGCCCACACGACGCTCCTGCACAAATAACAAACCATTGTCATAAATAATTATCATGGTGCTTAACTTGACATGTCAAGTAGAAGAGTACTCTTGTTCCCGACGTGCTTAATAATCATTTTTACTTACTTCAGTAACTATTTTGAAACACAATAATTGTAAAAGTAGATGTTATATTAAAGTCAGGAGTTCAGTTTATCCAAACACTCAGTCTGTTATTCTGTGTACCTTCTCAGCCTGCAGGCGTATGTCTTGCGCAAGCAGCCGCTGGCGTTCAGCGCGCTCGGCGTCCCGCAGCTCGAGGTAGCGGCGTTGTTGCTCGCGCAGCGTCGCCAGCTCCTCCTCCTGCGCCACCTCCGCCAGCGCCTGTTCCGCCGTCTTGCCCACCAGCGTCTCCAGGATCGGCTGCACTTCCAAGTCGAAGTCGAACAGCTGGCGGGAAAAGAATATTAAAAATTACATTCTACGATTATCAGAATGCTGAAGTCAACCACCGGACTTCTGATTCCTTCACTGCTAGAGTAAACATTATAAGAGTTGTGGTTTTTAACTGGTTCTCAGGTACTTACGTCTCCAGGGTATATCTGCGTGTGTGCGTCGGCACCTGTCTTGGCAGGCACGTAGATTGGCGTGGCGGGCCGGTCTGCGAATAGGTCCGTCTGCACGCCCACCTCCAGTTCCACGCCTTTGTCGAACAGCTGCACGAGAGAGTATATTAAATACTGTTGTAGATAGAAAAGACATTAAGACGCGAAGTTCTCACCTCTTGCAAGTAGTGTTCAGTCTGCACCGGCAGATGTCGCCGGCCGGGGGCGGGAGGCGGCGTGCCTGGTCTCAGTCTCGCCAATGCTGCTCGCCGAGCTAATGCGCGCCGCCTAGACTTGCTTGCGCCATCGCCCTGATAAGACAATAAGAAAGAAATCTAATTTCAGTAATAATTGTGCGTGGTATATTATTAAATTACGAGAGACTTCTTGTGAGGAATTTAGAAAACTGAAGTCTCAAACGTGTTTATCGTTTTTCAAGTAAATTGCTTTTTCCTTCATAAAAATAATTGAACTCTTATCTTTACCATAACAATGTAGAATAAGGTTAATTTGTAAATTAGAAATATAGCGCAAATTTTATTACCAAAAGTTACGAAATTTTTAAAGTAATCACGAAAAATAAAATAAAATTTATTAAGAAAGGTAACCTTCAAGATGTACTTTATAACAAAACTCACGAATTAATTAATGTCGACCATATCAAGGTATTATTAACAAAACGTAAGCAATTAATTTTTATAGTCAAGATTTTCGTAGGTCACTTTCAAAATGTTCAAAACAAAAGGGTCGGGCCACGAAATCAGTGTTTTGGTCGCCTGGGGTTCGCGTGATGAAACGTAACACGCATGCTTGTGCGACACTGAGAGTTGCTGTATTAATAAAAAATAAATATAATTATTACAGATTACGAAGATATTAGTTTTTTCTAATTAAAATGTTTATTTATTATATTATCTTGGATAACGGAAATAAATGGAAACTAACTAATTATAATTCACCATTTATTTTAAGACGATGTTATATGTAGTTTAAAAATAGATATAAGTCTTAATGAATATTACTTTTTTCTTTAAAAATTACGTAAATTCAAGCCAATTGTAAAACTAACTGCGCCTGGAATTGCTTACTTAGTGTACCACTTACACGTTAAACGCTGCAAGTAAACATTTCTTTTCGATTTCTTTGCCTTTAATGCACGTACAAATTGCACGCGGCTACATCGATTACATCTAGTCAATCAAAATTAACCTTTGAAGTGATCGACGTTGAGTTCAATTTGCATTAAGGGCGAGCTTGCAGTGAATTATCCAGTCTGTGCTATGGACGGGTCATGATAAATTTCGATGAATTTTTGATACATTGTTAGTTGGCTTGTTACTGTAATATGATACAAGTGGTTTAGTCGTTATCATATTAAATTCGAAAACTGTAATTTCTTATGAAGAGCTGTTAACTGAAAAATGATAATAACTAGCAATATTTCTACAACGTATCATGTCAGATGTGGCAACCTTTTGTTACTCGATAGATATGAAATATGTACATACATAACGTATTTTAACACAGTTGTTACACTTCTTTTGCAAACTTTAGTACAAATATGCACTCATATTTCATACTTTTTTTTTTGGTGTCGGGGGGGGGGAAAAGTCATCCAAAGATACCTTGCCTACTAGAGGGAAGGTAGGATTATGTAGGATTTGACCCACTAAAACCCCCGCGGTGGCCATCATCAACTCACATAGTCGAAGGTTCCGGGATCTCCAAGGAACACCGGAACCTATGCACTCATAACCTATCAAATCAATCTACATCAAATAATATGTCATATAAGTCACAATATGTAAATTGTAAAAGCATACTGCAACTGAACAAGTATTAACTCAATTACACACGAATACGACTCGTAATCGTGCACGCCTGGTTACCGATTTACGGCTCATGTCATGTTGTTTACTTTGACTTTCATCAACACTTTACTCTTTTAAATAAAACACAACCTTTGGTGTTGACGACTTACGGAATTCAGATTACATAAACAGACCATAAACAGTGGTAGCATTAAGTAGTACATTTGTTGCTATTCTAGTTTTATCATAGACTACAATATACAATTGCACAGAGTGGAGAAACACTCTTCGAGAGATGGTCAAGGAGAGTGGTCTCGACCCTAAAGAACGAGGAAACGATCCGGAGAGATAGAGAGAGAGAGAGAATATATAATTCATCTAAATGTATATGGGTCAATTCGATTCTACACTGATGGTCAAATCGAATTATCCCAACTACAGCGTTTCAATTCTATTTGACACTCACCGCGGCGTGCGCATGCGCAGTCTGCGGGGCGAATGTGCTGCCGCGTACCACGCGCCTGTCGTGCATCAGATTTCGTGGCCCCATCTCTTCGCTGTAAGGAAAGAAACGTTGCCATAAATAATTAATTACTTAGTAAAATCACAAATGTCAAAGTTTATATGGATGGATGGTTTGTTAGAAGGTATCTACGGAACGACTCTACGAATCTCGATGAAATTTTCCACAGTAAAGCAAAGTCTAAAAGAATACTTAGGCTACGTACTTTATTTTTATAATTACGCGCAGATGGTAGTAGTAAATGGCATGAATCATTGTAAGTGGTAGTAAAATAACATTTTACTCCGCTTCTTATGGTCGAAAGAGGTGTAATAAAAGTGTACATAAAACAAACATAATTTTACATTTATAATTATTTAAATGAGGTGTGCTGGCATCAGGGACACGATATATTTATAATTGATAAGATTAGATAAGAGGTATAAATGGCCGGGGGGTAGTTGACCGGCGGTTGCGGCTCGAGGGGTATGTGGGGGGGTTGACGGAGGCAGGCAAATGGGGCATGCAGCCGCGGTCATTACACACTGCTTGACCCCGTTTCCGACCCTCCTCCAACTTTCATTCACATCTACATATGTTGTACATTTCAGGCGATGTGGCTGTCGAATCATAGAAAGTAACACTATGCTACATCTAAAAGACATCATAAGAATGAATCGTTATAACCACTGGTCAATAAAAATCACAAATTCATTATAAATAAACATATCTTTACATGCGTATGGCGCTAAAAGATTATAAGCATGAGATATTTTGTCTAAAAGCCTATTTAGTCAACTACATCAAATTGTATCATGTAAAAATTTGTTAAATAAAAGGTTAATGCCATTAAATGTGTTTGAACCTGAAAATGACTGTTGTTTTGAGAAACATTTGTGTTTATTTTATCAAGTCATCCATACGAGGTTATTGCTTTCGTATAAGTTAATGTGCTATTTTATATTATAAATAGTAAAACATACACTTTGTCCTGTTTCTCAACCATATGTCTCATTCCGGCGACGCTGGCGATCAGCGCTCTTACCCCGCGGAACGCCTCCCCGGGGTTCATTCCTTTTTTATTGACCTCAACGTTTGGACCTCCGTTGGGTATTCTGTTCTCTTTATTTTCGATAACTGTCCGCTTCGGACGTGATGTTACAGCTTTCGGTTTACTAGCATATGAATAAACAACCTTCTCTCTTTCTTGAGAAGGGTAGAGAGTATGCAATCCCAAAAGATAAGCGACTTCAGGGGGAGGCAAGAGAAACTGTCCAGTTTTAACTGTCGTTACGAAACGTGGTTTGTCGGCCTCATTCTGCTTGTTTCGCTTCTTTTGCTCCGGCGATGGACTGTCTTCCATTCTCGGGGATATCTTTGTTCTTTCCGTTGAAGGGATACAGTTGATATTTGGGTGAGAACGATTCTTTGCCTTCTCCCGCTCGGCTCGGTCTTGACTGAGGTTGAGGTTGCATTCCGAGGCGGCCAACGCCCCCATACCGTAGCGAGGTCTGATCGGACGTCGTAGATTCGCTTCTAATAGTTCTTTCTCTTTTAACCGGCGCAATTTAAAGTCGAGCGCGCGAGAGAACTTCGGATTGAGAGCGGTGCGTGTGTCCACCGTTGGCCGGGCGAGGGGTCGGACTACGTTAACATTGGGATTACGTTTCACTGCGTGGTCTGTTTGTGTGGTCTCGTTGTCGACGACTGGTAAGCCGTCATCGGACGGCGCTTGTGAGGCAGACATCGCGTGTCACATGTGCGGGCGGCAGTCCGCGGCGGGGGCCGGCGGGTACTGGCTGTGGGACTGGGCGCCGGCCGACGGTCATTAGCGCTTACCAACAAAACGACGTTACCGTCCACCAGCAGGTGGCGCTTGATGCATTATAGAGTTGACGCTAATGCTGCGGCGTGTGGTCGCGCAGGCGCTACGGCTGACCGCTGCGAGTCAAGTCGCGAGACTTCTTTCTTGGTCAATTATCATACTGGATTGTACAGAAATTTCTACTAAAATATAACTATTTATACTTTTGTATATATTAATTAGGAATTAAGCTTTTAAACTTATTGATGTAATCTCCACATACACCTATGTATATTAATGTAATGGCATATATAATAAATAAGCTTTCATATTTAGAAGGTTAGGGCAACTAGTATAAACGTAGTAACGGTCATCTTACCAATCAAACTTCAAATTTATATATTTAACTTCGAAAATAATAATAACTTATTATTTAGAATATAAACCTTACTTAAAAATAAACGCGCATTTATTTTTTGGCGTCAGTTTAATTTTCGAATTGACCTTGAGGGTCCATTGTGGTGTTTTGTAGAACCGCGTAGCCAGGATGTGCGTCATGCTACTCCGCCTACATAATGCCGTAGCACAGTACGCTACATTGGGCTACGCGTAATGAAAGCTACGAATACGATTGCGACGCAACGGTCTTCTATTTAAACATAGTCTAGGAGCCATTGCAAAATATAAGTATTCATCTTTTTATTTCGATTTAGGTATTACAGAATGTAACTATGCAAAAACTATAGTGTAAGCCCAATATAACCATCTTTTACATTTTATTTTACTACGATAGTATTTTTGCTGTTGCCACCCATGTTAGTAAAGTGCCTGGTTTAAGCTATAAGGTAGATAAATATGAACCATGAGCAGTTTTCGTAATATAAACTGATCAATGCTAATCAAATTAGAAAAAAAAAAGTAACACGAGCTCTTGTACATTTCGCACTGGCCTAGCAACCGCCCCCTGGTCAGTATTATCGCAACATCTACAGATTGCCCATTAAACGAAGTCTACCAAATAAATTATACGTATACAGAATAATAATTTTGCGTCTGTTTTGCGCTATGACTAATACAATTTAACTACAAATAGTGCTGGAATAGTTTGATTTTTATTGATTGTAATTTTTACTTACAAAATATTACTAATATGATAATTGCGAAAGTTTAGGTGGATGGATGTTTGTTAGAGTCTGTAGCCTAAACGGCTGAAAGGAATAAGATGAAATTTGATAAAAATGTAGAGGATAGGACACATTGGCTACTCACTCTTGTATTCTTTTAATTCCACGCGGACAGAATCGCGGATAGAAGCTAGTGTTAATAGCCAAGGTATAAAAGTCCCCCTTTTGCTAGCAAACGGATGTGCGCAGTCCACCCTAGAGGGCGCTGCTATTAACCAAGGTTAAGGGCATTGCTCTCCACCACAGTACTAACATGCTAGACGCCTTGTAGCTTATCTTACATCACCACGCGAGCTCTCACAGGTCAAATAGGACATAAGAAAATTGTATTTTAAGAAATTCAACGTCTTCTCTACAGTTACTTCACGCTTTAGGCTATATATTTTCACGCTATTAAACTTAGAGGCTAAACATTTTGGATAAAAACCCTAATGTGGGAAAGAGACCATAAGTTGCTGCCAACATCAAAGTTAGATTACCAAGTTTTGTAATGTCATGTCATTGACAATTTGACACATGTAAACAATAAAATAATTTTATGCTGATGAAATCGCACGGGAACAGCTACTTTAAATAAATAAAAAGTTACCATCTGGCCAGTAAAATATGCCTACTCTAGAAAGTAGGTTAAAAAACAAAAATAAGAATTGAATGAAACATAAATCTGATTGGAGTAGGACAACCATAGGCTAGAGGGGACTAAAATTCAACTTACTCTATAATTATTTCTAAACTTTTAAAACTCAACACATCATACTTCTTACTAATATTATAAATGCGATAGTTTAGATGGATGGATGGATGTTTGTTAGCGTTTGTAGCCTAAACGGCTGAACGAATCTCCATGAAATTTGGCACAGGTTTAGAGCATAGTGTGGAAGAACACATAGGCTACTTTTTATTCCGGGAATAGTTAAGGTTTCCGTGGGATTCATTAATTTAGTTATCTTATTGAAATTTGGCACAGATATAAAACAAAGTCTGGAGTACACATGGGATAAGCTTCATCCCCGAGAAATGTCCGGTTCCCGAGGGATACGTAGCTTTTTATAATTTATGTAGTTCGTATGTTTTCTAATACCACGCGGACGAAGTTGCGGGCAACAGCTCGTTCTTAATATTTCTGTGACTTATTAAAATATTTCTTCAGTGGCTTTTCTAGAAGACAGATAAAGTGCGAGATATCGATAGTGAAAACTCAAGGTTAAATGAAGAAATCTAACCAAGAAAGTATTTATACGAAGAAAAATGAGTATGTAAGATTGACGTTATCTAGATTGCAAGTTGCCGTGACTGGGGATGTCAATTAGTCGCTTTTACATATATGTGTAAAGTAACAAGACCTTGAACTCCTTTGCTCCCCAGGGCTGAAGTTATATTAGAAAAAATAACATAGTTTAACTTTGAAGAACAATAATTTTGAGTGTGGAGATACACCGGTGGAGTTAGACATAGAAAGAGAAGGATGGATTTCGTGAAAGTGACATGATCAAGGGAGTGATGACTGAGATCACGGATGATAGAGTTATTTGGAGGAGGAAAACCCGGTGCGCCGACACTACGGGAATAGAATAAGGTAGGGGAGATGATGATGAACAATGTTTCACTTTTGGCTTACGAAAGTAAGCAGTTTTTTTTATGTGGCAAACAACCGAGCGCCCAACTAAATTCGTCTAAAAAGAGGAGCGATCGCTGGCTTTAGACAGCAGCAATAGCAGATGAATTGTCTACCTTTGATCGACGGTGAAGGAGACGCACATGAAGAGGACATTTCCCCTTCCTATGAGTCTTTTACCGTCATATTAATCAGATATATTAAAAAAAATGCGTATATACATTTAAATTTGATGTTTTCACATCTTATTTACGTGTATATTAAATGTACAGCTATCGAAGGTCATCGATTTCAATGTGTTTTAATTAAAAATTACTTGGAAATACAACAGAGCTATAATTTTAAAACTTGTTTGTACTGTATTTATATGACTAACACGTATCGAAATTAAAATCAATATTTGCGTCATTTATAAGCTTTTGTCGTTAATTCTGGAATGGAATTACTTATTGTCGCTTTTGTAAGTTAAAATTTCATCTGTTTGAGTGATGAAAACTCATTATAATGGTATCAGACACAAAAAATAAAGACGGAAAAAGGCGCGAAATCAAAGACAGTGGACAAACTTTTAGATAGTTCTTTTATAAAGCTACTTGTATCATGTCGTTCAAGGCTTATTTTTTCAGGTATGACCTACAGTGGTCGTATACGAGTGACGGCACACATTTATATGCACTGCATCAAAGAAACAATATTAATCGTAACATTGATATTTGTAATGTCAGGCGACATGCAACTCAACGAGGAATGTTATTAAGTCACCGATATCTTTTAGTGTTCTATGTAAGTCGTACACGATTTTGTCTTTGGTCACGTCTACCCACTAATTTTATGTTTCCAAAGCATCTGACTACGGGAGGTGATTTTTGTCATTGCGAGATTGTTTTAACCAGTTTTCGACGACTTAATAGAGACTTTGTGGCCTTATTTGAGATTATTACCAAAATTCAAATGACCTTGACAATAGTTTTGAAATTCTTAACCCTTACCATGATGGATCTTTTCTGAGTTTCATGTTATTGTAAAGCGCCCGAGGCGTGCTGGCGTACGTGAAGGGTCCCTTCGGCCGCTGCGGGCCCTCCACGAGCACAGACCGCATTGACATACTCATCTCAACAGGTGGAAATCAAACACAAACACACAGCACCACGCACTATCAACAATGACGTAAAAAGTCACTTAGACACTGGTTTGGATATCGAACTATTCATCCTCCTTTCTAATAAATTAATTGCCTCTGACATCACTTTTAATCATAAAATACAATACTGGCCAGTATTGTTGTTATTTTTTAGTCTTCTATTACCATGGTGATCGATAAACAAACTCTTCCGGTCATTGGTTATCTATCACCAAAGAGTATCTTATTCAAGGATAAGCCTCTGATGAAATTGTCTAATTTAAAACGTGATTGCGCGTAAAATTAAAATGAAATTATTTGAAATAAAACTTATAAAGCATTTAAACAGACAGTTGTCGGTATTTTGTGAAATTAAACAAAAAATGTACTAAAAAGCGGTGGCATACGACTTTCAATAACAATGCCATCTGTTGCACACGCCTTACACTAACTGTATCGGTCTTTTTCGCATACTAAATTGAGCGCTGTAGTAGTTAAACCTTACATCACTAGATGGCGTTAAATTAGATTTGGGTTTCAAAATTAAAATGAAATTACTAAAAATAATAACATTAATTATTTCTTCCTTGTCGCCAAATAAATTTGGATTTTTATCCTTTCATTTGAATTTATTTACATTTCGTGCCTACTTATAAGTGGTATAAATTTAGTGTCATAGTAATTAATTGGTTTTGTCATGCATTTGTGACATCTCAAGACCTTGTGAGGTTTTCCATAAACGTTTTAACAAAAATGTTTCACGAATCCTTTGAATACGCATACTGCACCGGCTAATAAAGCGGAATATAGATTATTTTGTTAACGTTAAACAAACTCATTTGCTAAAGTCTTTACTTTCAAACCCATTTTTTCGTTTTTGTTAACAAAAAACCAATTTATTCCAACATAATTATAGCTTAGAAGCTAAGGTGAACATAAATTATCCGTAATCCATGTTTTAAGAACACAATATCAACAAACTTACAAATAAAATCCAAACACAAATAAAACGCAATAAATTCGTTCTGCCCTTTTTGGAACTATTCTAGTATGACTTGACAAATATCCCGCGCCGTGTCCGATGCGTCCCCGATGAAGACATCATAAAATAATGACACTGGAACTTTCCGCCAGATCATTCTCCCACGTAATTACCCCCGAAAATGAGACATAATGTAAAGTATTTCAAACTATATGTGTTTAAGAATAGAGTGCAATATAAAAATGCTGTGTTTGGTGTAAGGGTGTTGCAAATACGAAGGACAGAATTGTCAAAGCGTACAGCAATAAATATATAGTTGTCGTGAGCGTAGGAGCGCGCGGTTTAATGACGCGTGCGCTCGCAGCGCTCGCAGCGCCACTTCCGCGCGCTTTTGTTGTAAAAAAGCGCGCTAGACGTCGCCGCGTGGCGCGCTTCCTCCCGCCATGGCGGACGTTTTTTACGAAATCAATGAATAGCTTTTTATTTATTGCCTTAATGATTGCATCCGAAAGATTTACTTTAAGTTTACTATGAATTTTTTTGTTCAGTTTATAAATCTTCAATATTTCGAGTCTACACATGCAGCTCGCCCATAAATACAGATTTTTTGAAAACTCATTAGAACCAGGTAGTTTAAGAAAGTCCAAAACATTATAGGAATAGGAAAATATCTTTATTATTAACTCTAACGGCCGAATACTAAAATGACACTCAAATCCCGGTAAAATTTTGTTGTCAGAGTGTCATCGTTTACCAAGCAAAGTATTTAAGATTCGATATTTGGCCGAAAGAACATCTATTACAGTAGGCTATTAACAGATATTTTTAGTATATTAAATACTTCATTTATAACTGTCCGCACGTAATAAATGACAGGTGATGATATTGTAATTGTAAGGACAATGAGACGTCGAAGTGGCCATTGTTTTTCTCGTCTCCGTGGCGTGTGAATTGGCTATAACGATGTGACTCGTAAATTTTTATAGCACATTGTTTTAATGTAATACACAAAACAAACATATTATACTATTCAAGGGTTTTTATGAGCATACACGTTTTTGAGTTAAAAACACTAGTATTAACTGCACAACACCAAACTGAAAGAAACAATGAATATTTGTAATTAAATTAGCCATTTTTGGCAACATTAAAACATCTGATATTCCTGAAAAACAGAGGGGCTACCAAGAAAACTGAGAAAATATTCGAAACGTCGTCAACAAAGTATTAGATTTGTGCAGCGCCCCTACCGGATCAAAAGTACACCAACAAAACTCATACAAAACTCAATGACGTTACGAATACTTCTTCCAAATTTTTATGCTATGAACTTACAAAAATGCATGAAAAAAACACTCATATGGACAGAAGGAAGATTTTATTTATTAATTAATAAAATAACATAAAACAACTTCTTGCAGTAAATTTAATCAATAAAATAAATACTGCAATTTCCTGGCGTACGCGCGTCGCAGTCAACTTCCGTGTATGTCCGCTTGATTTATGGTTCCTTTTTTTATCTGTGTAACTTTTGCAGAGTATAGACGGGGCTTTAACGATTGCACGGGAGTCCAGGCTTTATCAGCCGCGAGTGTTGCCATATTGATAGAATTAAAAATCATAAAAGTTACCCGAACATTTTCCGATTTTGGATAGACAGACATGTAGAATATTATGCTTGATTAATAGAATATTTAATTCTGTCTATGTTTGCTTTAAATATGGCTAGTAAAAATTTATTTCTTTCATATTTTGTATGCTATGTTTCTACTAGTTTTTGTACTATAAAGTAAACTGGTGTGAAGAGAATATATTTATACAAGTTACTAACTCCTTACTACGTAAAACTTTTAATTCTATATTATAAGACGTCTCCGTTAAATTAGAAGTTGTCTGCTGTTAAGTTACAGTTATGTAAAACTTAAGACTTTAATTATTATATTTAGAACTTGACCGTTGTTTTATTTTCTACTAGCTTTCGCCCCCGACTCCGTCCGCGTGGAATTACAAGAAAAAAAAACTTAGTGGCCTATGTGTTCTTCCAGACTATCCTCTACGTCTGTTAAATTTCAACAAAATCCGTTTAGCCGTTTAGGCTTCATACTTTAACAAACATCCATCCATCTAAACTTTCGCATTTATAATATTAGTATGATTAATTCTTTTTTCCGTTTCTTTTGAGAGTTGCCGGAAGAATCTTCATTTCCAGAATTTCGTTTTTAGACTTAATTTCAAAAATAATATATGGGATGGAATTCATCGTAAATACAATTTCTGTTAAGAAAACATTATCGGTTTCTGAGGTATAATTATCATTTAAATGCAATTTTAATCTCCTACAAATATAAAATGAAGTGTGCTTACCGATTTTATTTTGTTAAACCTTTGAACAGAATCGTGATCTAAATCCAGTTATTGGACTGGAGACAACGACAAGAAATAGAGTTTAATAGTGCACTGCAAATTTAAAGAATACCATACACGGTAAAAATCTTCCAAAGTAGAAAAACGAACAATACATTTCCGTAAAGTATGAAACATATATACTAATATAATAAAGCGTAAACTCACACTTCTTTATTGCCTAAGATGTGAGCAATTACAGCATATTTTTGAATATTTTTTAATAAAAAGCCCTACACTTGCGTTAAGCTAAAGGCTATATATTTCTACGCCATTAAACCTAGGGGGTAAATATTTTGGATAAAAACCCTAATGTGGGAAAGATACCATAAGTTGCTGCCAACATCAAGGAAGCAAGGTTGTCATCATGTCATGTCATTTTGACATTTGTTATTGATAATTTGACAAATGTAAACAATAAAATAAAATTTTCATTATATCAAGCGGATGAAACCGCACGGGAGCAGCTAGTTTTAAATAATTCCTGTTTTAAATTTTTTTTTGATGTCTGTTAATTCTAAAAATATATGAGATTTTCGACGATAAATCAATGAATATTAAATCAAAGTTCACAGTCACTTATATGGCAGTCATTATTAGTACGATATACAAGTTGGGAAGCTAGCCTAAAAACGTGGCTCCGACCAATTTATTAGAGTAGGCCGTACATTCATATGTATTGTGACCCGACTTTGAAAAACTATCCTTAACTAAATCAATTGAATTATACATAAGCGTGGCCCATTTTGGGAATTGGGGAGTCGCAAGAAGCGGGCGAGAGACCTCCGGGGGGCGGGGGGTAGTCCTGTAGACACGGACACCGCTGTGACCCCCTGCTGCACATTTCACTCTCTTGTGTTTAGCTTTCTAACACACGAAATATTGTTTTTAACAATATAAAATGAAAATCTTATTTTATAATGTGTGTTAGTATAGTTAATTATTTGTTTTTAAATGTCGATTTGAAACTACTAATACGGAAGTACATTTTATACTACGTCATTTGTAACTGACAGTTTTATTGTACAGTCGAGTTCAGATAAATCTGTGCGTGAGCTTTAAACTCAGCTGTTACACCGTCATTTGATTAAAAAGGTATTACTCACAGTCAACAATCTTCTGGCCAGAAACGATACGCAACGAAGAACCCCTGACACGTTGTAGAGAGCAGCCGATCGGCCAGCAGATAAAACGACGCAAGTGGTTATGGATTGGCCATACGCTTCGCCGGGAATCCAGCCACATTCCCAGGGAGGCCCTGGAGTGGATCCCACAAGGAACACGTAAGCGTGGCCGCCCTAAACAAACCTAGCGGCGTTCAGTGGCGGCCGACTTGAAGGTAATCGGGCTGTCATGGTCCGAGATACAACGCAGAGCCCAAGACAGAGCGAGCTGGCGGCGTACTGTGGACGCCCTCTGCCCCACTTTAGGGACATAGGAATAGAAGAGAGACTTACAGTCAACAAAAATATGAAGTTTCTTATAATTTCAGGACATTATAACCAATGTGTTTTAATTGATTTATTATAAAATGTTTGTTAACTTATGTATTTCGGTATCCTCATTTGATTTATTCGCGAAATGTAAACAAAAACTGATTATGCAGAAGTCTTGTGGAGGGCCACGTGAGACATTACCATACATTTGAATTGATTGACAAGTCCGGTCAATGTTTACCAGAATA